CAAAATGAAAATGTGAGGACCCTTTTAAAATCATAAAAAAATGTCAAGACCACAGTAGAGTATTAAGCCTGGGGTGCTCCCGAGAGCCCCTGGGAGCCTCGCTCTCAGTACAGGCATTAGGGGGGCACTAAGGTCCCTCTCAGTAGATCCCATGGAGACAAGAGCTGTCCCTTCTTTCTTTGAGTGACATGGAAACAATGGCACAGGTATCTTAATCTGGGGAGGTTTTTTTAACCACCCGGGAGCAGCCAAAGGAAACCGTCTTGTTGTAGGGGGTCTTCTCTCCCACGTAGCCAACCAGCAGCCTCCTCCGTCTTCCCCGCCAGAAGACGGAACAACCCCAAAGACTAAAGACACCCATGGGAGTCTGTTCCATGGTCACCTCCCAACTGACTTCTCGGGGACGAAGCCTGGCAGAGAGACCAGGGCCACTGAACACCCCGTTCCACTTTCTGCTGGCTTTTAAAGTAATGAAATGTGACTGCCATGGTCTTCCCCCCCGCTGCACCCTCTCCCTGTACTCTTTGGCTAGTTCTGATGTGTGTGTGTGTAGCAGGTGGTTCAGAAAGAAGATCATTTCTGCTGAGCTGACATAATGTTTGTTGATGGAAACTCAATCACTCATTCCAAAGCTCTTTATTAAATGCCTTGTATGTGCCAGTCAAGGAGCCCTGATGGTGCAGTGGTTACCTGCTAGCTACCAGGTCGGCTGTTCAAAACCACCAGGCGGCCCTCCTCGGGAGAAAGAGGAGGCATTGTACTCCTATAAAGATTGACAATGTTGGAAACGCAGAGAGGGCAGTTCTACTCTGTCCTATAAAGTCACTATGAATTGGGATCTAGTTGATGGCAGGGAGTTTGGTGGTTTGCTATGGGCTAGGTAAAAATGTCAGGTAGGTACAGGACTGCTAACTACAAGGTCAGCAGTTCAAGGCCACCGGTTGCTTCGAGGGAGATAGTTGAGGCTCTCTGCTCCTATAGCGATTTACAGCCTGGGAAGCTCTGTACCGGGTGATTATGCATCAGGATTGACTGGAGGGCAGTTAGTTTGGTTTGGGGGAGTGGGCAGGGAGCCCCGGTGGTGTCATGGGTTACACAGTGAGCTGCTCCTGGTAATCTTAGCAGTTCAAACCCACCAGCCACAGGAGAAAGGTGAGGCTGTCTCCTCCTGGGAAGATGGAAAGCCTCAGAGATGGAGCAATGCATAAAAGCCAGTTTGAATGGTAGCAGGGGAGTTCAAATCCTAAGTAGCTGAAGAAAGATCACACATTTGGTGGCGCGATGGTGATGAATTGGGCTGCTAATTGCAAGGCCGGCCATTCAAAACTTGGGAGAAAGAGGAGGTGTTCCTCTCGTAAAGAACTGCAGTCTTGGAAGGCCACAGGGGCCGTGCCACCCGGCCCTATAGGGGCGCTTTGAGTCGGCATCAACTTGACGGCGAGCGTGGCTTTGTGGTCGTGATAAACGTGAGCTCTGCTGGGAGCTACGAAGAGAAACGACCAAGGCAAAGCGAAGCCAAGAGAAGGAGGAGCCACTTTTATTTTATTTTACTTAAAAAAATCATTTTTTTTATTAGGGGCTCATACAACTCTTATCACAATCCATACAGACATCAGTTGTGTCAAGCACATTTGTGGATCTGTTGCCCTCATCATTCTCAAAACATTTGCTCTCCACCTAAGCCCCTGGCATCAGGTCCTTATTTTTCCCCTCCCTCCCTGCTCCCCCTTCCTCATGAACCCTAGATAATTTATAAATTATTATTTTTTCATATCTTACACTGTCCGACGTCTCCCTTTACCCACTTTTCTATTGTCCGTCCCCCAGGGAGGAGGTTATATGTAGATCCTTGTAATGGGTTCCCCCTTTCCACCCCACCCTCCTTCCACCCTCCAGGTATCACCACTCTCACCACTGGTCCTGAAGGGATCATCCGCCCTGGATTCCCTGTGTTTCCAGTTCCTATCTGTACCAGTGTACATCCTCTGGTCTAGCCAGATTTGTAAGGTAGAATCGGGATCATGATAGTAGGTGGGGAGGAAGCATTTAGGAACTAGAGGAAAGTTGTATGTTTCATCGTTGCTACACTGCACCCTGACTGGCTTGTCTCTTCCCTGCAACCCTTCCATAAGAGGATGTCCAATTGCCTACAGATGTGCTTTGGGTCTCCACTCTGCACTCCCCCTCATTCACAATGATATGATTTTTTTGTTCTTTGATGCCTGATACCTGAACCCTTCGACACCTCGTGATCGCACAGGCTGGTGTCCTTCTTCCATGTGGGCTTTGTAGGGAGACCCTTCAAGTTGAGCCAATCCATTTCTTCTTATTGCTGAGTCCCGTCCATCGCATGCACAGATGGCACTCTGCCCAGCTGTCCATCACTTGATGGACGTTGGGGTTGTTTCCACTCTGGAATTATTATGAGTGCAGCTGCTGTGAATATTTGTGGCCACAATTTTGTGTGACCACTAATTCTTTTTTTTTAAATCAATTTAGTGGGGCTCATAAAATTCATCGCAATACATAGATCAATTGTGTAGAGCACATCTATACATTTGTTGCCCTCATCATTCCCAAAATTAGCTTGCCTCTTGGGTTCCCGGAATCCGCTCATTTTCCTTCCCCCCGCTCCCCCTCCCTTCCTCTGCCCCCCTCCCCCATGCACCCTTGATAATTTATAATTCTTTCATTTCTCTCGGGCACACACCGAGGAGCAGAATTTTCAGATTGTACAATGGTCCTGGTGGTGCTGTCCAGTAAGCATTCGTCAGCGGTTCAAACCCACCAGCTGCTTCATGGGAGAAAGAGACTCACAAAAAGATTTGTAACCCAAACAATCACACAAAGACAAATATTACATGAGACCCCTGTTATAAGAAGCAAAAAAACAAAACGAAGACTTTCATCTTGAGGGAACAGAGTTTGGAGTTTGCCAAGGGTGGGAGGACAAGGGAGAGGAGATGAGGTCATGGGCTAGAACAGTGGTTCTCAACTTTCCTCATGCCACGACCCTTTAATACAGTTCCTCATGTGGTGGTGACCCCCCAACCATAACATTATTTCCGTTGCTACTTCATTACTGTCATTTTGCTACTGTGATGAATCTGGCGACCCCTGTGAAAGGGTCAGTCAACCCCGTTCGGGGGTTGAGAACTGCTGGGCTAGGCTGTTGATGGGTGTTGACTGGGGAGAAATGGAAGACGGTGATCTACAGGAAGGGGAAGGACAAGGAAGGATCAGGGGAGGGGCAAGCTATTGATGGGTTTGCTCAGTAGTTCAGCGTGTGGAGGACCCAGTTATCCTTCTGAAAGGTAAACTCTGACCTAAGTGACTATTTAAAAACTAATCACCTATGAGGGGTGTGCTAGTCTGGGTACTTTAGAGAAACAAATCCACAGAAACTCATAAATAAGAGAGAGTTTTATATAAAGGGTAAGTGCACATCAAGAAAACATCCCAACCCAGTGCTGCCCAAGCCCACAAGTCCAGCATTAACCCGTTAATCCATATGTCCAACACCAATCCACAAAGTCCTCCTGCACCTCACAAAAGAGACGCAATGATGCCGACTGCAGGAGGAAAGCCGAGTCAGTGAATGTGTAAGCATCTCAGTGCTGGCAGGGGTCTCCACATGGCTGCTCCAGCACCCAGGGCTGCCTCGGGCTAGGTCCATGTGGGTTCTCCTTGGGGATGTCTTGCAGGAAGTGAGCCTTGCCAGCTGAAACAGGCTAAGACAGCTGCACCTGGTCCAACCTTCAGAAAGCAAGAGACCCAAGAACTCGAAAGGCGAGGCTCAACTCAATGGCAGTATTTTTGGAACAGAATTTATTTTCCTTTCACTGTAGCTATTGATCACACACACGGCAAAAACACACCAAGTCAAGTTTCTCTGTGTACAATTTATTTATCTCTATAACTCATTTAATACTAGCAGAGGGCTTCCAAAAGTTCGTATTAAATGAGTTATAGAGATAAATACATTGTACACAGAGAAACTTGACTTGGTGTGTTTTTGCCGTGTGTGTGATCAATAGCTACAGTGAAAGGAAAATAAATTCTGTTCCAAAAATACTGCCATTGAGTTGATTCTGGTAGTGAGGGCCTTCCTCTGTTTCGCTGCCCCTCTACTCTACCAAGCATGATGCCCTTCTCCAGGGACTGGTCTCTCCTGATCACATGGCCAAAGTACGTGAGACGAAGTCTCACCATCCTTCTAAGGAGCAGCTGGCTGTCCTTCTTCCAGGACCGATTTGTTTGCTCTTCTGGCAGGCCACAGTACTTCCAATATTCTTCTCCAACACCCCAATGGACATGCATCACGTTTTCTTCAGTTTTCCTTATTTATGGCCCGACTTTCACATACGCACGAAGCCACTGAAAAGACCAAGGCTTGGGCCAGGCACACATCAATCCTCGAAGTAATGCCCTTGCTTTCCATTCCTTTAAAGAGGTCTTTTGCATGCAATTTGCCCCATGGGGTGCATTGTTTGATCTCTTGACTGCGCTTCCATGAGCATTGATTGTGGATCCAGGTAACATGCAGTCCTTGACTTCTTCATTCTTTTCTCTGTTTACCGTGATGTTGCCACTGGTCTAGTTGGGAGGATTTGGGTTCCCATCCACACTGAAGTCCTCGATTTTCATCAGCAAGGGCTTCAAGCCTCCGTTGCTTTCAGCAAGCAAGGTTGGGTCATCTAATAAGGCATAGACACAGAGAATTAAACACACACAAAAAGGAGCCGAGATTGGCTGCAATTTCACACCTGGACAACGCTGAGGTTTTGTGGTGAATGAGCCAGGTGACAGGCAAGCGTCTTAGCTTTGAGTTAAGAACTCTGACTTCACGAGTGAAATGGGAAGGACCCTCGTTTAAGCGAGGACGCTCTCCCCCGGACCAGTTCAACCACTAGGTAGCTATGACTTCCAACAGAACCCTCTCTCCTGGAAAATGGAGAAGTTAGATAACATGTCCTTTCTTCTCTTCTCTGTCCCCACAGAGTGCTCGGCACATCGTAGGCGCTCAAGAAAGAAGTAGCCGCTTGACTGGGTGACCTCTTCTCTGGGTTGGTATTTTTCAGGGGCTCTGGGCTTCAGCCATGACGGACACCGTGCTCAGCAGCACCTCCAACCGTTGGATGTGTCCCAGCGACCGACCCCTCCAATCAAAGTAAGTCCCGGGGTTTCCTGGGGGTGGCTTGGCTTTGGATAGCGTTGGTCTGATGGTTCTGTATGGCGCAGAAGAAAGGGGTTTCCTTTCTTAAGGTGGGAGCAAAGAAACCTAGTGGGAGCTACATCATGGGAATTTCTACACTGGGTCTATTGTCTTGCAAGGAAGAAATAACATGGTTAAATTCTGAATTTCCTGCCCTGGCAGAATGGAAAGAACATTGATACCCGGTGGTTAACAGGGTTCTAGTTCTGGTTTGAGCTCAATCACTGGGTGACCAGAGGGGAATTTCTTTTCTTCTCTGGGCCTCAGTTTCCTCATTGGTCAAATAAAGGCGTTGGGCTGAATCAGAAGTTGCAAAACCACAGACTGACTCTGACACACAGAAATGGGCTTTTGATTTGTAATTTTGTCCTATCACTTAAAAGCAGATCAATTTCCCACCACTGCTCACATTTCTGCCTTCTCATTGAAAACTCCAAAGACCAGGCAACCTGGAGCCAGAATTCTCCGGGGCCAACAATTTAGTTGGAGCTGGTCTCTTTACCACAGGCACGAGCTCTTCGATTTTCCAACCGTCCCATCTTGCTCATCCACTTTTCTCTTTTTTTCCTGACCGACCTGTCCCTCTTGACAGCTCTGGATGAAATGGCACCCCAAATCTTTTCACTGTGGACTGTGTGGTTTTAATGTCGGTTAGTACTCAGGGGGCCGGTTTCAGAGTTTGAATTCTGGCTGATTGGAGGACGTGGTCACTCTTATGAAAGGAATTCACGTCAGGCTCTGGCTGTTGGCCGAGTGTTGTGATTCACGCAAGGAAAGTGGAAAAGGCTTTGGCCCATAGATTCCTTCCTTACTCTCGACAGGCTTTTCCCTGACCTTGGCCCTTTCAGCCTGTCCTCCACCGCCCTAGTGAGGTAGCAGTGGCTGCTAATCAAAAGGTCAGCAATTTGAACCCACAGTCGCTCCATGGGAGGAAGGTGGGGCAGCACTCTATTTCTTAAAGGTCGAAGTCTTGGAAACCCTGTGGGGCAGTTCAACTCTGTCCTACAGGATCCCCATGGCCTGGAATTGACTTGATACTTTTTTTTTTTTTTAGTGAAACATGACTATTATTATTTTCTTTCAATTGGCCTACTTTTTTCCTTAAAAGAAAGCAATACTGGTTTAACAGGGAAA